CAATCTAGGCACTGCCCAAGCAGGGGTTGGGGAAGAGGAGGGGGAGGCATGGGTACAAAAATCTGGCTAGTTGTTGAAGCCTGAAGGTTTGCATTCAGACTCAGTCTGCAGATGGAGACGTTAACTGAATTAGTCTCTACAAGATATCAGATGATATCTAGGATTGAAAGATGAAGAGGCAATAGCCCAGTTTTGAAAACAATTTTGATGCTGTTAATCAAATGTGGCATTCATTAAAAAAATTCAGCTATGAGCTGAGTAGGCAAAAATAAATTAACAAAATTAATAAGATTAATGCAGGTGCTTCTTCAGATATTGCATAACGGCAATAGCAGTAGACAGAAAAGGAAATACAAATTGCAAGTGTAGATAACCTAATTCTTCAGCAATGGAAAAAAGGAAAAACCTGGCCAGCCTTGGGTAGTGAAAAAGCAAAGGCAGGCACTTGGATCCAGAAAAAAAGCCTCCATAATTGTTACAAAATAACAAGCAAGCTTTCCCGGGGTCCAGAACTCTTAATGAGGCTGGAAGCTATACAAAGGAGAGTTGCAGGGGAAGGGAAGAACAAAAAAGAGAGAGCAGAAATAGGCTGGTATGTAGCCAAAAGACCTTCATTTAGACCCAATTTCAAGATGGAATTTGCATATTGTCTCTTTAAATAGATACATCAGTTTCAGCAAACTATTCTAAAACTGATTTTCAATCATCATGTAAAATATATAAGAACATCTATGTTCTGTATACTCTGAATGAGAAGATTCCTATGATCGGAAATAGGAATTGACCTCATTCAGATCTATTATTAGTATTATTTATTTAATTTATATACTGCTCTTCATCCAAAGTTCTCAGGTGCTTTCAACATTTTTGAAATCTAGAGACTCACTATGATTTTTAGCAAATAATTCACACAGCTACTCAGAAAAATGTGGGAGGACAGATGCACTCTTCCCCCAAACACACCACACTAATAGCAGCCAGGTCATCTGATTGGGCTCATCCCTGAAAGGGAGGGTGAAACGGATTATAGAGATGAGGTGGAGCGGCTGACAGAGTGGTAAAGAGCTAACAACTTGCTCATAAATACAAGGAAGACAAAGGAGCTTGTGGTGGACTTCAGGAGACAGAAGAGCAACGTCCAGCCACTTTTGATTGATGGGGTCTGTGTGGAGAGGGTAACAACGTTCAGATTTTTGGGCATTGAATTACAAGAGGATCTGTCCTGGAGTGTCAACACAAGGGGCTTGTGAAGAAGGCGCAGCAGAGACTGTACTTTTGAGAATACTAAGGAAAAACCATCTTCCGCAGAAACTGCTGCTTGCCTTCTATCACTGTGCCATTGAGAGCGTGCTCACTTATGGCTTATGTGTGTGGTACGGAAGCTGTACTACCCAGGACAGGATGGGGTTGTGCAGGGTTGTTAAGGCAGCAGAGAGCATTGTTGGCTGCCCACTCTCTACCTTAGAGCAGATTTATGCCACAAGGTGCCATAGGAAGGCACTGGACATAGTAAAAGATCCATCGCATCCTGGTCACTGTCTCTTCGAGCTTTTGCCGTTGGGATGGAGATACAGGACGATGAAGACAAGAACGAGCCGTCTTAAGAACAGCTTCTTCTCCAGAGCGATCTCGGCCCTGAATGGGAAGCCCGGACTTTGAAAGTCATCTAATCTCCTAATCTACAGTATTATACTGTATTGATTAATTAGTGTTTTTATGGAGCAGTCAAGTAATTTCGTTGTCCCCGAAGGGCGCAATGACAATAAAGATATTATTATTATTATTATTATTATTATTATTATTATTATTATATATCACAAGCATGTATGGCAGGAAGCAAAACCACAGTTTGTGCATGATTCAATTATGCAGATAACCCATTGTCTTAAGTTATGTTGTACACTAACTTGGTAACTTCTGATTTAATGGCAGTGTATATGCTTTAAATACAGTAAATAAAAAGAATAATACTGTAATACAGAAACAGGTGGGGGAGGCAGGTGGACACCCAATGGTTCCGTAATCTACACTGAGATGTTTTTCAAATGTTAGTACTTGAGAGACCAGTTCTGTTTCTGAACTATGCGTCTGGCCTGATTGCCCTCTTCTCTCCCTTGCTAACATAATTTACTTTTTGCCCATAAATCTTTGAAAGTCCTCACCAAAGTTATCTATATTTGTGAATTGACACAAAAGAGTGGATTTGGAAGACATAGAGTCAACACAAGCATCCTGTTTGACTTGAGTTCCTGGTCAGATTGTGGGAGAGAATGCATATTCCACATTTTATTTTTAAGACTGTGTCCGAAAGACTCCAAGCCACTCAGGAGACAGGCGCTGGACCATGGTCTGATTGAGGGAGATTTCCATTTGGAATTAAACAAACAAACAGACTACCATATCTGATTTTGGGACTTAGCACAAACATGTAGGCAGGCAGGCTTAGTATGCAAACTCCCACCACTGCCCCAGCTCAGATTGTTATCTCCCTTGTGTCTAGGAAAGGCTAAATGTTATGAAAGCCAAAGTATTACCAGTTTTTCACAGACAGATCAACATTTCAACAAAAGACTCATGCAACCATCTTAAGCTGGCAACAGTACATGCTCAGGATGTGAAGTTTGACTTTTTGCACTGTGAAGTCATATTCGTTGAAAACTTTACAGTAGTATGGCAAACACAGAATCAACGGCACTGCCACTTTATCAGGAAAGAAAAAAGTCAACCCGTACCCACTGGCAGAGGGCGGGGAGGAGTGCACCGCCTCCGGCACCATCGGGGAGGGGGGTACCATCGCGGCCACCCCCCGGACACATGCCGCGCACCCCCACTGTGCAGGGCGCCATGCCCCCTCAGGTGGTGCACCACACCCTTCAGGAGCATGTCACGCCCCCGTGGGTGGAATGCCACACCCCTGGGACGCACGCCACACCCCACAGCCATGCCCCCGCCTGCTCTCTGCCCCCGGTGCCAGAGCATGCAGCTTCACCACTGACCATACCAGTTCAACCAACATTCCTGTAAGTTCATTAAGCTGTAGCCTTTTCCCGTTATTGTTCTGCACAAAAAGAAGGCATCTATTCAGAATGCAGCTTTGCAGCAGCAGCTGCAGGTTCTTCCCCAAAACGATGTGTCTTTAATTCAACATCTAATTGAAAGAAACATGTCAAAATGCCACCTATCTGCATGCATTCTTTGTACATGGAACCGCGTCTGAAAGGAGCTTGTATAACACCTGTAGCCTTGTGAAACATTGCCCATAAGCCGGAATACAGTAGTAGAGTTTTCAGCAGGCATTTAAAGTATGAAACAGATGGTGCCTGCTGCATTGTTATTGGCAGAGTATTCCACAGGACTGGGCTCATGATACTAAAGGCTCCATTTCTTGTTGATGTCAGATGAGCCTCGCCAACTCAGCAGAGAACAAACAACACTCTTGTAGAAAATCACAGTGATGAAGCTGGGATATAAGGGTTCAGGCTATTCCTAAAGTAACCTGCACCAAAGTTGTTCGCGGTGCTGTAAATTAACACAATAACTAGAAACTGGCTCTGAGGTAGCTGAGCACCCTTTGCAAATGACTAGATAAGGAGTTTTTAACAGTAGTGTCACATGTTGTCAGCCACGTGTCCCATCAGCAGCCTGGCTGCCGAATTCTACACCAGCTGGAGATTCCAAACCAGGCCCAAGGGCAGACTCACATAAAGCGCATTGCAGCAATCCAGACTTGAGGTTACCAAAGCAGCGCTCAGGACATTCCTGTCCCAGAACAGTCAAATATAGCACATCAGACAAAGCTGGTAAAAGGCTGGTGACAGCCATTTCACACGTGCACGTCATCAAGATTTTATTTTGTGCTAATTTTATGTTTGTATTGTGTGTGTTTTTTTGTGAACTGAGTGTACTCCATGTTTAGCTCTCTTCTTTTTGTTGAAAATTGAATTAGAATACTTTCAATACATACATGGCCCTGAATAGAATAGTCACTGCAAATGTTACTGGGATTATGTGCTCTATCTCACCAGCACCTGGCTGCTACATTTTCAACTACAGTATTCTAAACACTTTGCAGTGTCAGGCTTACATAGAGAACATTTCAATATGAGCTGGAAATTCTCAAGGAAAGAATTACCGTGCCCAGGTCAGTCCTATCCAGAAAAAATACAAGATTCATAAAGACATGTGTCTATGTTAAAGATCAAGGACGAGTAAGATTATCCACAGTGAAATCTTTAACAATACTGAATAACTTGAGCAGGCATCTGAGCAAAAGGGGCCTTACCACAGACTTTACCAACGTGGTACCATCCAGATATTTTGGACTACTGTGTGCTGCTTTCCATGCATAATCAACTGTGTGCTGCTTTCATGAACTGAATTGTGCCCTAAATCACCACACACTTTTGTGCCAGATTATTTGCCATCTTTATTGCAGCCTTGCTCTATAGCGTGTGAGCCTGTAAAGATCTGTGCAATCTATTAGCTGGGATAAGCAAAACAGCCTGCTCTCCAGTGAATGCAGTTCAGTGTTATACGGGGTTATGCCAAGTGGCTTTATCTGGGTATGAAAAATTAATAACACTAATAAATCTGCTTGCACAGATCAAGGAGAGAGAGAGAAGATGAAAAGCCTAACGGTAACATTAGAATTTACTTCACTGTGAAAGCAAAGTGTGGGAGTTGGTTTGGCAGTGCCACAAAACAAACACACAATAGCCTCCTCTTTTACCCTCGCAATCCAGGATAAACCAAGATAACAAGATAACTAAACATAACAGACATACAATGCTTGGCCATCACATACATATTCATTTTTTGTGTTCTTCTATGATCTCTGGTCTAATCAGGCATGCAGGTTTTCATAGTATTTCACCCTGTACTAGGGTAGCTATGTGAAAAATAGGACAAGGCTTCTGCATCTTACATAGTTGTGAATGAAAGTCTCTCTACTACATAAAAGTGCCGAAACACTTTCCCCTTCTGCATCTAAATAAAAAGATTGTCCAGTAGCACCTTAGAGACCAACTAAGTTTGTTCTGGGTATAAGCTTTTGTGTGCATGCACAAGTTGGTCTCTAAGGTGCTACTGGACAATCTTTTTATTTATTTCGACTACGTCAGACCAACACGGCTACCTACCTGAATCTATTCTGCATCTGGTCACCTGCCACCTCAGCCCCAAGCCCAGGGTGTCAGCAAAATCCAACCACACCCTTCCAACCAGATTCTGAAAATCAGTAGGTTGCCAGCACTCCTGACTGTCAGACCTTACTGGACATTCCTGCAGATTCAGATAGACAAAAGCTAAAAGTCCAATTGAATTCAATCAGCCTTACTTCCCGGTAAACAGGCTGCAAGGCTCATTTGCTTTTCAAACCTAGTCTGGATTCCCATCTTTCTGAGGTGGTAAAGTTCACACACAGTGACTTGCCACCTTATTTTTCACATGGCAAGTCATTTGTGTGAAAACAGCCTCTATGGGGGGGGGGGGGGAGGAGAGAAATGAAACACTACCTTGTCCAAAAAAAATGCTTAAAAACATGACAGTGTGTTAGGAAAGCCACTGTGTATTAATCAGCAGCTAAACTTCTCCTTGTCACTGAAGTATTGAGTGAGGCACTTCCTGCCCCCACCCCACCCCCCGCAAGAGCATGATAACAAAATACTGTAAACTTTTATTATTTTTAATATGGCAGGCACAGTTAAATGTTCAACCTCACCTGCAATCTTAAGAACATAGGAAGAGCGTGCTGGATCAGGCCAATGGTTTGACTTCACTCCCCGGAGGCGCCTTCCACTGTCTCTTGAGACAGACACCAACCTCTAGTGGGGAGTGTTGTTGTGTTCAGGCCCTCCTTTCAGGTTGGCAATGTGACAAGCAAACACTGGACAAGATTGGTCTGCTGATCCAGCAGGCCTCTTTTTAAGCTGTTATATGGCAAACTGGTGGCAGTTGGTGTGGAAACTGTTGAGCCCAGCCCATTCTGAAGCCCTTTCAAATATCACTCAGCCTTTGCCAGAGCAGGAGTGCAGCTATTTCACTCTGGGCAGCTGGATCCACCGCCCTGTGCCCCCCCCCCAAAAGCCCATGCTGTGAGGCATCTAGAGAGAGAGAGAGAGCTGCAATTACATGCCATTTGAAGTGATTTTAGGGGGATTTGAAGTGAAGCCCGCCTTTTCTGGATTGCCTTTATTGGTAGGCTGATCAGTGAAAACATTCACAGATTTAGTTTCGGGAGTGGGGGTGGGGGCAAGAAACAGGAATGGAATGGCAAGAGACTTTTCAGGTGTATCTCAGCAGGAGCGGAGGTATAAAATGCACTATGGGAGATTACGCAGCTCATGTAGCAGGGAAATTGTATGGACTTTTAAGAGCAGAGAAAGAAATAAAAAAGAACTAACAACAAAGGTTTGGGAGAGAATTACTTGAACAAGTTCCGAAGGGAAGAAATGCATAATGTACTTAGGAGCTTTGGGTTTCAGCACTCCCTGAGGAAACATATTAGTGATTTTTAAAAACTTAATTTTATTTGATGGGTTAGTAGAATGTATTCAATTTAAACTTATACCTCTGGGTACAGGGCAGTATATAAATTTGATAAATAAAATAAATAATAATAATCTTGTTATTACCAAAGCAGAACTAAAAAAATAAAAACTGTAAGATGCTGCACAGCAAATGTGCCCTACTTCTCCAATCTCGCAATATAAATTATGTGCTGCAGTGTGCAGCTCATACAACCTCCTTGTAATATACTTTCCATTAAAGCTGTGAGAGGGTGGGCAGGATTTCCCTCATCAAGAGGGCGAAAATATATTTTGAACCCTCCAGGAAAATCTGAAAGGGAGGGAGAGGTATGGTGGATGGGTAAGGGGAAAGGAATGGCAGATTAGGAAGAGTAAAGCACCCTCCTTTCCCACTGCTTCTCTGTTGTAAATTCTACTTCCATCTGAAAAGGATTCTCTTTTTTAAAAAACCAAACAAACACTGTGACAGGTCTCTCTTGCACATGCTAAATGTGTTGTTAGCACTGGACTGAGCAACAGAGACAGTATGAATAAAGTATGGAGTCACAAGGTCAGGGCTGTGGTTCACCAACCAGATGACCTGCCAGAGGCACTGGAAATGGAGTGTATCTATTATTGTTGTTGTTATTATTTTATGGTTTTAATACTGTGAACCATCTGGATCCTCTGAGAAATGCAGGGTGTATGTATATTAATCTGAAAAAATGCCTGACAAGGAAAAATCAACAGTTCCACATTCATTCAAATTGTACTTAATCAAACACTGTTAAAACGTTTTGCCACAATGTCTCCTCATGTAAAACAACATATCTAATTCTATTCTTATTATATTCATGGAAGATTAGAGTACCTCGAGTTACATATGCTTCAGGTTACATACGCTTCAGATTACAGACTCCACTAACCCAGAAATAGGACCTCGGGTTAAGAACTTTGCTTCAGGATGAGAACAGAAATCGTGCTCTGGCGGTGTGGTGACAGCAGGAGGCCCCATTAGCTAAAGCAGTGCTTCAGGTTAAGAACAGTTTCAGGTTAAGAACGGACCTCCAGAACGAATTAAGTACTTAACCCGAGGTACCACTGCAACAGGATTTTTATTTTTATTTTGCTATTTGCAATTTTTTTTAAAAAAGTACAAAATGAAAGGAAGTTGTCCAATGATCACATAATCTACAGTTCCTTTCCAAATAAATAAATAAGCAAGCAAGCAAGCTTACAAATTCACTAAGGCTGCAATTCTGACCCCTCAACTCCAGTGTTGATGGCTAGGTGGGTTAGGGTGCAGCGCAGGCACCCCTCTCTGCTGACTTCTACCAGAAAAGTGATGGTTTAAATCTTCACTCAGCCATAACTCTGATTGGGTGACCTGGTCCTGTCTCTATCTCTTAACCTAACCTAGTTCATAGGGTGACTGAGAGGACAAAATGAGGATAATGAGTCAAAGGCATTTATTTGAGCTCTTTGAAAGAATAGCAAAATATAAACGAAATAAATCAGTTAAATAACTGGGATGTATATTTATAATACCATTAGTATAAAATAGCCAGATGAAAACAGCCATATTGTGCTTATGATATCATGCCACTTTGCAAGAAGTGTCAATTCACACATCTAGTTTCAGACCTGTCACAAGTACATTTGCACCAGAAAGTGGTGGTGGAGGAAGAGAACTTTCATAAGGAATTACTTGCATCTTCATTTAAGCAGTGGCAGTCTAGCTAGCCAGTACTTAAGATGAAGTCCAAAGGCATATCTAGCTCTGAATCCTGGAAGTCTGGGCAAAGAAGAACCAATGTTACATGCCAAATGATCAGAGGTGGCCAACCCAGTGCCTTCATCAGCCCCTGCCCGCACAGCCAATTTGGGACAATGGGAGTTAGAATCCAACCTCATCGTCTATCTCTGAACTCCAAAGTAGTTGATAAGAACCCATTGACTAACAACCACAGGAGCCTCCCCCCACCCCAAACCAGCACCTGCATTTCTCTAAAGTGTTCCCTAAGGGAAGTGTCAGTTATAAGCCTGTCAGTTATCACCTCTGCAGAGGTTATTTGATCAGTCATCATTATAGAGTTAAGTGTTGATGCTAAGCATTCTGCAATATCTTTTGAATAACTCTGCAAGTGCCTGCTGGTGAACTGCCATATAAACAGCAGCTGCAGAATTATCTATCACCTTCCTTGCGGACACACACATCACAACTCTCTCTTTCCCTTTCCGTCTAATGTCATGCACTCTGAGCACAGTTGCCAAGACAAAGTCAATATTATTTCTCAGCTGACCTTGCAAATTCAGGGCAGATGAATTATTCCCAAATGCACAAAGAATCAGAGAATTGCAGCTGTCACTCATAAGGTCCCTGGCCACTCCAACCATTTCTGGCACTTTGTTTTATTTGAGGCTAGAACATGGCAGATGAGCCCCCCGCTGCCGCCACCACACAAAAAATACTGGGTATATAACTCAGGTTTTGAATGCACAGCTAGTTTGTGTCCATATGACAAGAATGGCAGCTGATATTCTTGGGCCTTTGTCAGATCAGACAAGACCTCACATTCAGTCTTCATAAAGACCACAAAATTTTAACCACATATCTGAAGGCAGAGTTTGGTCTTGCTGTGGGTTTCTGATTACTGTGGTACCTTTAAGTCCGTTAGTCTAGCATAAAAGGCACATCATTCTCAATTATTCTTGCAAAGAACGGAGGTCTGAAACCATGGGGATAACAACACCAGCAACAACATTAGCAAATTATATAATGATGATGATTTATACCCTGCCTTTCCACTACAATTTGCAGAGTTTATAACAAACCATTCACTACAAAATCAAGTAAATAACAACATACTATTTTGCCTGGACTGAGGCTTAATTTTCATGTCCCTTACCAAACACTGGCATTTAATTATTACCCAAGCCTTTGTGGTAGATTTTTGATAGCTACTGCAGCCTTGCACAGCAAAAGGGCTGAATCTAAGAGGATTATAGGAGCGACAATAAAACAGCATGTTATCAATTTATTTATTTTTACTAACCTCTCTGTCAAAACTAACTTGTGTTAGTTGCAACTGGGCTAAAAGGAAAAAAGAACTAACTTTTGGAAAGCCTTCCCATCTAAAAGACAGGGCATAGTCACACCTCCTCTTCTGCTGCTGCTAAACATCTGCAAAATATCCCCTGTATAGAAACAATACTTGTTTAAATTCTTTCATTAACCTGAATACATGTAAAAAACACAGCAGTTAAATTTCTAATGGGAATTATCTGTGAGCTATATATTTTAGAAATGGAGTAGAAAAATGTGGTTACATACCAGAGAGCTTTATTCATAATCTGGAATGTGCCAGCGTACAATTTGCTAATAAACATTTATAAGTCTTATGTAAAATACAAAACTTTATCTCTGCTTTCATTCCTACATGATATTCTAAGCTGGGGAAAGGCTACTAAAGTGGAGCAGATTATGCTATAGTTCAAGCATTCATACCCTCCACTGAAATTTTTCATTAATTTATAGAATGAATGTATTGCTATTTTCTAATGTAGGATATTCATGAGTGAGTGG